GTCGCAAAGAGTCAGATAAGACTTAGCGACTAAACAACAGCAAACCTACCCTAAAAGAGGTACTGAAATCTCTTCTCTAAATAGAAAAGAAAGAATAATCTATAGGAAATGGGGAAAAAAATCATAATAGGAAAGGCAAATATATAGAAGGATTGAAAATCACTTAAATAAGTTAGTATGTAGATTTTTAAAAATTGAAAAAATTGTAAAAGTGATTATAACCATAATAAACAATAAAAGGATAAGCATGAAAATGTAAAATAGGACATTATCATCACAAAATGTCAAGACAACCTACAGACTGGGAGAAAATATTTGCAAACAATGCTACCAACAAAAGATTAATTTCCAAAATATACAAACAGTTATACTGCTTAATAACAAAAAAAACCAATCCAATAAAAAAATGGGTGGAAGATCTAAATTGATATTTCTCCAAACAAGACATAGAAGGAAAATATCTCAACATAATTAAAGCTACCCATAGCCAAATAATATACAATGGTGAAAAGCTAAAAGCCTTCCTGCTAAATTAAGAAACAAGACAAGGATTCCAACTCTCTCTACTTCTATTCAACATAGAATTGGAAGTCCTCGCCATAGCAATCAGAAAAGAAAAAGATATCCACATTGGAAGGGAAGAAGGTAAAACTGTCAGTATTTGCAGATGATGTGATACTCTACATGGAGAGCCCTAAAATCTCCACACAAAAACTATTAGAACTCATAAATGATTTCAGCAAGGTAGCAGGATGCAAGATTAATATACAGAAATTTCAATTTTTATACACTAATAATGAAATATTGGAAAGAAAATTTTTTAAGAAATCCTCAAAAACAACCCTCAAATCTCATCAAAAAGAATAAAATACCTAGGAGTAAACTTAACCAAGCAGGTGAAAGATTTCTATGCTAAAAACAACACACTGACAAAGGAAAATAAAAATGATTCAAAGAAATGGAAAGATATCTTCTGCTATTGGATTAGAAGAATATTATTAAAATGGCCCTACTACCCAAAGCAAATTACAGATTTAACGTAATCTCTATCAAAATACCCATGGCATTTTTTTCAGAACTAGAACAAATAATCCTAAAATTTATATGGAACTTCCAGAACAAGAGTAAGAAACCAAAACCAGAATTACCAAAGCAGACCTGAGGAAAAAGAAAAAAAGTTGGCAGTTTTACTCTTCCAGACTTGGGTTATGATACAAAGCTACAGTGGGCTTCCCAGAAGGCAGAGTGGTAAATAATCTGTCTGTCAGTGCAGTAGACACAGGAGATCTGGGTTTGATCCCTGGGTCTGGAAGATCCATTGGAGGAGGAAATGGCAACCCACTCCAGTATTCTTGCCTGGAGAATCCCATGGCCAGAGAAGCCTGGCCGGCTACAGTCCATGGGGTTGCAAAGAGTTGGAGTTGACTGAGCGACTGAGCATGCATGCACAAAGCTACAGTAATCAAAATAGTGTCGTATTGGCACAAAAACAGACATATGGATCAGTGCAACAGGATAGAGCGCCAAGAAATAAACCCACACACCTAACATCAATTAATGTACGACACAGGATGTAAGAATATACAATGGAGAAAATACCATTTCTTAAACGAATGATTTTGGAAAGCTGGATAGCTAAAGCTGGGTGTAATCAATGAAATTAGAATATTTCCTCACATCATATGCCAAAAGTAAACTCAAAATTGTTTGAAGACCTAAATGTAAGATATGACACCATATAGCTCCTTCTTCTTGTTCAGTTGCTAAGTAATGTCTGACTCTTTGTGAACCCGTGGACTGCAGCATGCCATGCTCCTCTGTCCTCCACTATCTCTTGGAGTTTGCTCAAATTCATGTCCATTGAGTCAGTGATGCTATCTAACCATCTCATCCTCTGCCACACCTCCTACTGTCAATTTTCCCTAGCATTAGGGTCTTTTCCAATGAGTCAGCTCTTTGCATCAGGTGATCAAAGTATTGGAACTGTGGCTTCAGCATCAGTCTCTCTAATGACTATTCAGGGTAGACTTCCTTTAGGATTGACTGGTTTGATGTCCTTTTGGTCCAAGGGACTCTCAAGAGTCTTCTCCAGCACCACAATTCAAAAGCGTCAGTTCTTCAGGGCTCAGCTTTCTTTATGGTCCAACTCTCACATCTGTACACGGCTACTGGAAAGACCATAGTTTTGACTAGACAGACATTTGTCGGCAAAGTGATGTCTCTGCTTTTAAATACATTGTCTAGGTTTGTCATAGCTTTNATTTATTCTTACACTTGGCATTAACAGTTATTTAGAGTGACACTGCTTCAGATGTTCCATTCTGAGCCCAGCTGAGGGGGCAGAGACTACCAAGGGCATTTTCTTTGTGGTGAAGATAGAAAGACAGGAACACAAGTGCAAATAAGCAAAGGCAATTTAATCTTCTTACCATATCCACTAACACCTCGCTGCCAAAGCAAGGCACACAGTCAAGTCCAAAGTTAAGGAGTAAAGAAATACACTCCATCACCATGAGCACTGGGGAAACAATGCTACTCATTACCTACAGAGGGATTAAGAATTGTAACCAACAATTCAATCTACCACACTCAGAAGACTTGCTATCTCGCAAAATGTTTCCTCCACCTGACTGTGCCTTTGCTTAAGCCTTTGGTCCCTAACAAAAATGAAAACACTCCCAGGACTAACACTTTACTCTATAACTATTTATCCATCCCTTACTATGAGTATCAGACCATTTCCTATGAAAAGAGAGAAAAGGTACCAACGTGACTAGGGAAGGCAAAGAGTAAGGGACTGGGAAAACAACCCCAAACAAACTTTTTGCAATATACAAATTTGCTGAGGATCAGAATCTATGTATTCTTACAAAATGAAAGGCAAAATGTCACAGAAATACAGTCACAGATGTAGAAAACAAATTTATGGTTACTGGGCGGAAAGGTGGGGGTAGATGGGGAAGGATAAATTGGGAGACTGGGACTGACATATACATATTACTATACATAAAATAGATACCTAAAAGACCTACTGTATAGCACGGGGAACTCCACTCCACACTCTGTAATGGCCTATATGGGAAAAGAATCTAAAAAAGAGTATATATGTATAACTGATTCGCTTTGCCATATAACTGACACTAGCACAACACTGTAAACCAACTATTCTTCTATAAGTTTTTAAAAAATACATGTTTATTACTAAAAATTCACAATTTAATCTGTGGCTCATGCAACAAGAAAAGTAGGGTGAAGTAAATGCATAAATGAGTCATCTTTTATTTTGATTCTAACATCAACTTTCTTTCTGACCAATTCTTTTTTCTGTAAATACTAACAACCATAAAAATGGATATTTTTATAAGTGAGTTATATGTCCACCTTTCTCCCTCTGTCTTGAACTCAAAGCAGATGAAAAAAACATTCTAAATCCATCTGAATGATTTGCCAATAATAAAAAGGTTCTTAAATACAGTTAACTTTATTGGTAAGACTTATATAGTGCTGTTTTCTCTGGCATCTTAGAAGAATTAACATTCCTTGCTTGGTTCCCTAGTAAGTTGCATTTGTCCCTTGTAATTGCCCAGAATATTAAATAGTTATATTTTAATGGATTGCTTAGGGTTTGTAGAAGAGACCATGGATCTAACAACAGATTAGACCTTTATTGCCTGCTAATTTATTACTCCTACTCCAATAGAAGACATAAATAGTTCAAATAGAGTATATACCTGGATCTAGATTGGCCCACTTCTTCAAGAATCATAGAGAAGTGCTTCCAAGTTTTCTCATGGAATGAGTGCACAAGTTTCCTTGTATCACCAAACAAAGACAGGAAATAATCTTCCCCTTCCCCAATCACAGCTGGCTCACCAGCAAGGACTGGAATAGAGTGTCTCTTTGGAATTTTGCCGATGTTGAGTCCTTTCAAAGAAAGCAAATATAGAGAAGTATATAAAAGAGTAAAAGGACCCAAAGCTACTATCTTTATTCCTTGCTTCTATACAAAACAATATTCTTTATATACTTTACTGTCATAGTCAAACTCAATGAGGATAGTTAGAAACTTTAAACCAAAGTCTGTAAAATAACCAGTAAGTGATTATTTTTAGTGACACTCAGTTCCTAAAGATTATTTCAGTTATCTGAAAACTATCAATCACCAGCATAATTGTAATTTAATTAAGTTGTAGTAGAAGCAATGTAAGTTTTTGAGTAGGTAAAACATTTGAGTCTCTCAAATTTGGATATGTACAGTTTATTCTATTTTATATTAGCTCTTCTCCCCAAATTACTATGCATAAATTAAAGTCCCAAATGAGTTCTTTCTTACCAATGGTGTATGTTTTGCCAGGCAGACTTAAATTTCCTCTAATCAACTGAAATACTTTATTAGGAAGATAAAGTAATGCTTAATCAGATTCTAATGTTTTCTTGGAAATTTATTCTTTTAAGATTCTCAATACTAAGATTCAAACATAAAATATGTTTCATTATTTTGCATAGAGGGAATCATGCTGGATAAATCTAATTGTGTATCTGCAAGAAAAACATTACAGAGAGACATCATGGTGAAATAGAGCACTGTGTCTTGGATTTAGACACACTTGTATCCCAGCTTTGTCACTTACTGATTTAAACCAAATGATTTAAACCTTCTAATTCTCAGTTTTCCTGAAGATAAAATAAGGATAATACTACCTTGCGTGAGGCAATGTGAGGATTGCAGATAATATAGATGAGTGTCTAGCATTTAGCAAGTACTCAATAAATGATAGCTATTGTCATAGCACAGGGACTTTGGCTAACGTGACCCTGGGTCCAAAATCAGCAAAGGATTAAGACAATCTAGAGTGTGCTTTATCCTCTTGTGTCTTTAACAAAACCAAACCAAGGTGAAATATGAAAAAAGTAAAAACACATTCCTTAGAGGATTTTGTTTAGACGAAATACTTGGAATTAGATTAGTTCATTCCCATTCAAGTGAGTATTTGCTAAATCTTTCAATTCCTTTGAAGAAGGAAACTATTTAGCATTGTTAACAGCTCATCTTGAGGGATGAAAATCTTTGTACTCTGGAAGGGAAGAAGACACATGGATCTTGGGTTCCAGTTATCATCTCATCTAGAAATGAAATGGACCAAATGCAAAACAGGTCTTGGGAGACTCAGATACCTATCTGCAGAGTCAAGATCTACAGTTAACTGAAGGAAAAGACTCTATCCCAGCACCACGCTCATCTTGCAAGGGGAAACCAGTTTATTTGTTTTTCCCTCCATACTAAGAGCTTCCACAGTTCAACCCAAATAGAGAACATACACAATGATACAGTGCCAAAGGATGAGAAATATTACCTCCTTAGATATAAAATGTGTATTTTGACTTTTAAGCATATAGATACTGGTCATTGCTCAAGGTCAGTGTGAACTCAGGAGGCTGCTTTGAAAAATGTACCTTAGGCATACAAACAATGAAGCGTAGGCAATACGGCAATAATGGCAGAAGGTCAAAATCTTGTATGACACTGTGTCAAAATCTTAGGAAGATATCAGGAACACAGTGAAATATAGAGGTTGTAGATGTGCACAGAATGGTAGGGGAAAATGAAGACATCAAGTACTCATGGGTGTATTTGTGCTAACAATTTTGAAATTTGTTAGTTGAGGTAATACAAACCTCAAATCTAGCCTATTCTATGAGAAGGTACAGGTACGTTCAGATGCACAACTAACTTTATTGAGCACACTTATTATGTGCTAGGCGATTTTCATAAATATCTCATTTAATACTTAGAATAGCTCTTGAAGTTGATATTTTAATCTGCATTTTGTAGTATGGAAAATGAGACTCAGAGATAGCAAATATTTAAACTAATGTCTCATGTAAAGATTAAGCAAATTCTCATTCGAGTGGGAATGAACTAATTTAATTCCAAAGGTTTCATGTCGTAGGCTTGAACCAAGGTTCTCTGTTTCCAAAGACAGTGGTCTTTTCATTAAACAATGAAAACTCAAAGTTCCCCAAACACAGTGAGGAACATACACCTCACGGTGTGAACACTGCTGACTGCATTGTGGCAACTGTCAAAACTTTACTGTCATTTCCCTCGTTTCCAAATGATTGTTTCTCCCTTTCTCTCCACCATTTTATTATGTACTTTCTATTTCTCTTATCTGTCTTTCCTTCCGTAAGCCATAGTCTAAGCACAATATGGACAATATTGTTAATTTTTCTGGTGGCATTCACAGGAAAGGCAGTTAATGCCATACAACAAAACTTTCAGTTAGCCAGCAATTCTAGATCATCTAACTGGTCAACCCATGAACCATTATGACAACATAAGATATTCTAATCATAGAGATGATGTATTTGGCCACATATATTTACGTGACCTGAACATGACTCCCAGTGCTAGACTCAATGGTGAATATAGTTAAATTATTCTGCATATGGCATTAAGAAATGAGTATACTGGAGACATTCTGGAAAATTCTTAAATAGATGGGGACACCAGACCACATGACCTGCCTCTTGAGAAATCTGTACGCAGGTCAGGAAGCAACAATTAGAACTGGACATAGAACAACAGACTGGTTCCAAATAGGAAAAGGAGTACGTCAAGGCTGTATATTGTCACCCTGCTTATTTAACTTATATGCAGAGTACATCATGAGAAATGCTGGGNACCTGATGGGAAGAACTGATTCATTTGAAAAGACCCTAATCCTGGGAAAGGTTGAAGGCAGGAAGAGAAGAGGATGACAGAGGATCAGATGGCTGGATGGCATCACTAACTCGATGGACATGAGTTTGAGTAAACTCCGGGAGGTGGTGATGGACAGGGAGGCCTGGCGTGTTGCAGTCCATTGGGTTGCAAAGAGTCAGACACAACTGATAGACTGAACTGAACTGACTGATACTGAAGACAAATAATAAAACACCATTCTGATTTTGAGGCATATAATGACTCAAACTATATGCTTTAAAAATACTCTAAAAAAAGTTTGTGTTTTGCTTACCCAAGCTGTTTTCTGAGCGGGAATGGGTCACTAGAGCAGGTTTAAGAGGCTTTGGTCCAATTGTCGATATAGTTGCTCCACTAACTTGAGGGCTAGACAGACAGTAACTGAGAGGAATTTCATCAGATAATGACCGTGAACATGGCAGCGTCGTGCTATCTGAATCTGTCGATGTTGTAAAGAAATGTACTAAAGATGGCAGTTTCTTTGGGAAACTGTCCTGTGAGTCTTCTATTCTGTGTACAAAAGTGAGTATAACAAACAAAGTGAGACAGTCAAAATGATAGACTATGAACACAAGAAGCATTAACTGTCATTATTACTCAAGATTTTTCTTTTCAAAGGAATTATGCATCTAACAGAAGAGCATTTTATATTTTTAGTTTTAAGTCTGAATAAAACACTTCAGTAGCAAGTCAAGCTTTTCTTTTTTCTATTTAAAAATCAATAAACTCCTATCTCAGATAGTTTTACAAAAGTGTAAAACCTGAAAGAAGAAAATAAAAATTATTACAATCCCACCAACTAAAATTTTTACCATTTCCTTCCAGTCTTTTTATTTTTATTAAAAATGTTTAAATTGAAATACAATTGATTTCCAATATTATATTAGTTTCAGATGTAAAACCTAGTGATTCAATATTTTTTTCCTTCCAGGACTTTTTTTTTTTTACTCAAAATTTAGACTCTATAAACCATTTATAATCCACTTTTCAGTTCAGGTAAGTCGCTCAGTTGTGTCCAACTCTTTGCCACCCCATTGACTGCAGAACGTCAGGCTTCCTTTTCTATCACTAACACCTAGAGATTGCTCAAACTCATGTCCATCAAGTCATTAATGCCATCCAACTGTCTTATCCTCTGTCATCCTCTTCTCCTCATGACTACAATCTTTCCCAGCATCAGGGTCTTTTCCAGTGAGTCAGTTCTTCCCATCAGGTGGCCAATATTGGAGCTTCTGCTTCAGCATCAGTCCTTCCAATGAATTCAGGACTGATTTCCTTTAGGACTGACTGGTTGGATCTCCTTGCAGTCCAAGGGACTCTCAAGAGTCTTCTCCAACACCACAGTTCAAAAGCATCAATTCTTTGG